CACAGACAGACAGACAGACAGACGCGAAACTTTTTGATCGTCACTGGAGTAATAGGCTTCGCTATCGCTCAGCCAATAAAAAGGGCTTGTGATTTCTAAAGGCCACACAACAAAAATAAAATTCTTGTACATTTGAATAGTACGCATCTGAATGTAGAACAATTACAACAAAACCAATATGTAAAACAGATTTTTTTTTATAAGTCAAGACATTATTAAAAAATCTTGTACATTTGAATACACTGAGTACAGTCAATTAGATTGTAGAACAATGTAAACAAAACCGATACATAAAAAGCACATTGATAAATCACCATAAATAAGGCTCTACATCTTGAAGCGGCGCAATTCTTGAAGCAGATTTTCCATTGCCTCTGTGTTCTGCTTGACAAGGGTTTTCAAGTCAACAGAGGAATCCCCTGTGAAAAAATACAAATTAGTCAAACACTCAAGTTTAATGTGGTGAATCACTCACATCTGTACAGGTATGAAACAGACACCTGATCAGAGCATTACTTACCAAGCTTAGAAGAGTTGGCCATTCTCTCCAAACGCCTCTTGAAGGCTGGCGTTAGACCACTACCACTTGGAGGGGTATGAAGAACTTTCTCTCGTTTTGGTCTGACAGGAGTCTGATTATTGAAAAGGTACGAAGAACTGATAATCTAAAAGCAAAAACAAATGGAACTTATTTTGACCACACACACTATGCTAACTTACATCAGCCAAAGGGGTGCAGTCTGACAAATCATCTTCATCTTTCACTGCCTGAAAGCAACATCACAGAAAAATATACTGATGTGTATTGAAGCACAGAAAACTAAAGACACTCTTGCTCATGGAACAACTCTTACCACTGATGCAGGCTCCTCATCGGAGCTGCTTATGCAAATGACCTCTGGCCTGGCCTCGTCGTGCCTCTGCAAACAGAGATTAACTTACAGACTCAGTACAAATATTTCTGAAACAGTCACATGAAACCTGAGATGTAAAATACAAACCTTGGGTGTGTTTGGGGTGAACACGGACTCATCAAATAAATCAGAGTTTGACAGTTCTATCATCTTTCCATCAGGGAGGAGTTGGTACACCTTGAGGAAATCTTGCTGTTCAGGTTGCACAACTGGTGGTGCCGCTTCCACAACTGGTGGTGCAGCTTCCACAACTGGTGGTGCAGCTTCCACAACTGGTGGTGCAGCTTCCACAACTGGTGGTGCAGCTTCCACAACTGGTGGTGCAGCTTGCACAACAGGTGGTGCAGCTTGGACAGCAGGTGGTGCAGCTTGGACAACAGGTGGTGCAGGTAAAACCTCTCCAACAGCTAGGGGAGGGTGAGCAGGGGTTCCGCTCCATGTAACATGAATTGAGCGAGCAGTTGATCTGCATCAGGGACCGGGATAGCTGCGTCTGCGGCCTGGGCTATGTCTGTTTCATTGGCAGGGTCATCAATATTCGCCTAGCAATGAAAATACATGCTTAGACCCACTGAAATTTAAAAGTATTATTCATCAAAACACCTCAAACAGCAGCTTACATGAGCCAATTGCACACCATTGAGGGCTGCCCCCACTCCGGTCATTTGAATCACTGTTTTGTGGTGAGCATTTGCGAACGTAATTTCATTCAAGTCTGGCAGGGGCCTACCAGCATCTAAATAGGGCTTGATGAATTTTCTGTAAGCTGCCCGTCCTCTGCTCTTCATTCCATTCCATGCCTGCAAAGAAATATAAGTGAGGTCACACAAATTACCAAGTAAATTTCAGAGGACAAACAGGTCACTTACAGCCTTCCACTGCCTCGCATCTTTCTTGGCTGTGGCACCATCTACGCCATTCACTACAAGGTAGATGTACGCCAGACCAACGTCTCGCGTAACAGGCTTCGCGATATCTCACGAAACACTGTTACGCTGCGACGCGCCTGGCATACATCTACCTTGGCCTGCGGCGCTAACACCCGAGTCGGGTAGAGCAAAAATGTACTCAAAGATTCGGGCCTCCGGCCCGTCAACCCCGTCACTTAGACTAAGCATGCATGGTTGTACATTTTTTCGCTTATTTTCGTCAAAAATACCCTCTAGCGTCTAAATGGTTGGAGCTAGAGCAAAACGGACAAAATTTTCGCCCAAAGGGCTCTACTTTGATGAGTTACCCTCTAGGAAACCAGAAAAAAAAGATTTTTAAAAACAGTCATTTTTGGGACCTGTGGTTTTTGATTTTTTAAAAATCCAATTTTTGAGCTAGAATGCTCATCTTCGAACTCGATCTGTCTTTTTATGACACAAAACGACCCTGAAAATCCCATGTCGCTCACTCAATTCGTTCTCGAGTTATCGTGCGGACAGACAGACACACAGACACACAGACAGACAGACAGACGGAGTAATAGGCTTCGCTAATCGCTCAGCCAATTATGGCTAAGGACGACCATTTCTTTAGCATTCTATTCTTCCCTCCTGGATTGAGGTAAATGCCCTTGAGCATCTCTCCGTCATTTTCCACATAATCAAAAAGAGCCACCCACTGGGCGTCAGATGGGAAACCAGAATCTGAAACAGAAGTCCAATGAAATGACAAAACTATAAACAAATATATACTATCCTACCAAATATAGGGATGAACAAATAATATCGACACCACAAAAATCAAAAACAATTGAGTTGCATCCTATCGTAAGAAAGACAACACACCAAACAAAAATTAACCAAGTGAGTGCGCAGAATCAAGATTGATGGAAAACAATGGAGACCCTCATTAATTCAGCTTCGGAATGGAACAAGTCCTGTTGCTTTCGAGGTTCAAGTGAATTCTTAAATGTGGAGGGAATGACACAAAGTATACAACCTAATGGAGATTCTGTTCTGAATTGCAGAACCTGTGTTTTTACACAGGGACAGGGAAAACTGAGGCCCACGATTCAGGTTTCAAGTAACAAACATCATAGGAGAAGGAGCAAAATGTTGAAGTTTAGACAATCTGCAGGAGATCGCGGGGCGTCCGGGTAGCCCATACCCAAGAGGTTAGTGTTTGATAGTGGGCTGTGGTGCGATCTCCACGGTACGCCAGTCCACTACACAATAACTCTACATCGTTATTCAGCCATTTCAGACACAAAGCGCGAACAAATCGCCCCAACCAATACATTGCATGACTTTGCGAGCAGTGAGGGTTCCTTGGGAGAAATAAAACTCAAACCCCACGTACGCGACCCACCGATTTTAAACAACTAACAAAAGCGGAAAGCATCAAGAAGATAGGGAAACTACGGGAATTATGTAATTTCATGACTTACCCATTTCATACACTTCAGTCTTTAAATAACTAGCTATATGTACGCCAGACCACGTCTCGCGTAACAGGCTTCGCGATATCTCACGAGACACTGTTACGCTGCGACGCGCCTGGCGCACATATAGCTAGGCCTGCGGCGCTTACACCCAAGACGGGGTATTAGGAGTGTATATACAATTTTTCGAAATGAAGTTTTTTAAACGATTTAATCGACCATTTGATCATTTTCACCCTCATTTTGCCACGAAATGCCCCCTAGCACCCAAACGGTTCAAGATAGAGCCAAACGGACGAAATTTTCGCCCAAAGGTCTCTACTTTGACGAGTTACCCCGTAGGAACCCATAAAAAAAAATTTGATAAAAATACATAATGCGAACTGTAGTTTTTGATTTTTTAGAAAGCCAATTTTTGAGCTAGAATGCTCATCTTCGAACTCGATCTGTCTTTTTCTGATACAAAACGACCCTGAAAATCCCAGGTCGCTATCTTAATTCTTTCTCGAGTTATCGTGCGGACAGACATACAGACAGACAGACAAACAAACAGAATGAAACTTTTCCGGTCAGTGGAGTTATGGGCTTCGCTAATCGCTCAGCCAAAAAGGTTGTGGAATGAATGAAGTAACGAACGATCTGGTGGCGCCTGAAGAGGGCCAACTGGCTACCCGCATTACATGCGTGTATGCAGGTGTTGCCTAGTAATCGGGCTGAGGTCCCCTCAGGCGTGTTTTTTAGATTTTCAACCTTGTTCCAGGTTGCGCATTTTGACAGGTGATACTGCTATCGAAAGGGTATGAGGTGCCCTTCAAGTCTGCGAAGAAAAAATCGCAACTTTTGCGGACTTCAAACGCCGAGCGCAAGTGACGCGGAACGAGACACTTAGACCCCCGGCGTCCACGGGGTGACGGTGGTGACCAATTGCACTTGCCGCATGTAAAGTAGAACCCCCCAAGGTCTCAGCTCAAGCCCTCATCGACACCTCCGGTGGCGCGCAGCGCGCACAGCGTTCCAAACAAGAAGTGAGCTATTTTCCCGCACTCTCGGGGGCGGTTTAAAAATCGAGTGGCGCGAACCCTAAACGTTGTCGCACGGACTTTGGACAGCGACGGGAAATCATCGTTTAATGTCCTCTATCATTCAGCGTCCGAACCTCGAAAACTTTTTTTTTCCGTCGGACAGGCTAGCCGGCGGCGATATTCGGGCCCGCGGCCCGACCATCTCTGTCTCGCGATTTGTTGAAGAACATGATCGTATGATGTAGCGGGCCGTTGGCCCGCTTAAACCCGTCGTCTTTGAGTTTGCCCCAAAGACTCGAGTAAGGGATGTAACGGTGAAGCACCGCGACTACAACCCACCCTTCTGCTTCCCGGGTGGAAGGATATCGAGTCATACTATAGTTTCAACTATACAAGGAAAACTACAGTTTCCAAACTATACTTAAAAGTGACTATAAACTGTCAATCTACTGCATTTTGTCACTGCAGTCCTGAGTAGTCTTTTTGGACACTGTTTACGACATAGTTCATTCATATTTTTTGCAGTTCAAAACTGAAGATGGCGATATAATTTTTTGTGCACTGTGGACTACATTTTGCATATACGTTTTCTACACTTCTACTGTGTACATTGTCTTAGAGTACGAAGAGGAGTAAAAATATACCGTTGACTGAACATTCCTTACACTTGAACTGCATTTTATAAAAGGACATTTATGTGTTGACTGAGAAGCAGTTAAAATACACGGGCTTTGCAGTTCCCGCTGTTGTCGAAATGTGCACTTCGAAATTTAGTGAACAGAACGCTGTTACCTGTAGTGACCTTCCTGATCACTCGAACTCCTGTATTGTTCTCCTTGACGATGGCGCCTGACAGAAAGATCACACTTTAGAGGCCATGAGTGGTTCAACTGCATTGTGTTTTTTAGCTTGCCTTGCCTAAAGAATATTTTACCTCCCAGATTCTTGAACCACTGGGCTCTTTTATTTCATGGTGTAGCTTTGTCGATTCAAAACTCTGTTGCAAAGTCTGAGGTCTACTATGCAGGCCGCTATTTTAAACAATTTAATCAAGAAATAGACTTATTGTATGGGGCAGTTCATGTCACATTCAGTGTGCATCTGTTGACTCACTTGGAAAATAGTGTGGTCAATTTTGCTCAGCCTTGGACGCATTAAGCGTTTTTATTTGAAAGCTTTAATGGTGAATTAAAAGATTCGGTCAAAAGCAGTAATGGTGTAGCTCATCAAATAACTAAACATATGCAATTACGAATAGCCTTACAAAAGATGAGAGCTGATTTAGAGTCGCACATGAGTGATCCTGAGAAAGAATACCTAACTACCATGATGTCTAGAAGTAAAGGCTTTGCTGAGCCTCACCTTGTTCTAGGGCCTGTAGCTTTATTAGGTGAACCTAAAAGGAAAACTTTGTCTGGAGAACATAGGCATGCTCTGGTGTGAGATATCGCGAAGCCTGTTACGCGAGACGTGGTCTGGCGTACATCTACCTTGTTTTATTTGCTTACCGCGTTGAAGTTCTGTTCCACTTTCTTGAGCATTGGCTGGCATGATTTGAACTGGATTTGGTTTTTCCTATCCCTCGGACCCTTCACGATCTTGTTCTTCAACGGCGTTAGAGTTCTCTTGCGAGAACTCCTGATGAGGTCGACGGCCTGCTTGACGCTGTCCACAATAGGGTATTTCGGGTAAGCGAAGCAGCGGAAACGGAACGGCCGAGCGGCTGCTGGATCCGTCTCAGCCTGCGAACTGCAGATGCGCAGTAGACTCTGCGCCGCCCCGCCACCTCTCCCTCTCCCCCACGCATCAGCAGCAGAGATGCAACCAGCGGTGAACTAGCCGGTTCCGTTTCCGCCGCTCCGCTTACCCGAAATACCCTATAGTGTTGTAATTAATTCATTGTTTACACTATTTATTAATTACTAGTCAATCCTAACGACACATTCAAATTGACCCTCCATGTTCACTGCCTCCTTGTAACTACACATAACTGTCCGTTCCTTGATGTCACTGCCTTGTCGACTCCCGCCTGGAGTGAGGACCTTAATAAACCTTCACTTCCGCTCCAGCAGCCCTTGTGTGTACTTCGTCTCGTCCTTCGTCCTTATCGTTATCTAATCACATCTATATTCAAATCAGTTTAAACCGAACTCATAACAACATATAGCACCACCTCGCTCGCCATAGAGGTCGAGTTTGGTTAGCTGAGGAACAAGTGCCTTCTTGACGACGAGGTTGGTGCAGTGCCGAAACAACATCTGCCCCGTCGTCCGTGACGTAGTGGATCTTCACTTTCTCCGGATCTACTGACAGGGCAGATAGGTTGGCCTTGATCTCTTCCCTTATTGCTTCGCCCGTGCTAGAGAAGCAGTTGGGGGTGAAAAGCAGGTGGTCACTGAGCTCAAAGTTTTCGTCAATGTGCTCCACGGTGTGCGCCAGGTACTTGCGCGTGCTTTGGCCGTCGGTCCACCCATCGACCGTGGCGGACACCAAACCATCTTCTAGATCGGCGCGAAGGGTGTCGACCAAATCAGCACACGCGCTATCGGCGTAACTACTAGCGAGCCGGCAGCGATGACCATTTTAGTCTCCCGATTTACTGAAGAACATAATGAGATAAATAATGTGAATAATCACTTTGCATATTTCGAGTAAAGTAAGGCTTCCGGCGGGGGGCCTGCGGCCCTAGATTTGCTCCTTGGACTGTAACGGGGCAACACCGTGACTACACCACACCCTTCCGCTTTACTGAAGAATTAAGAAAAATTAACCAGTGAAATTTTTAGATTTTATTGTTTGTCAAACATTCTTAACATGACTTTTTTGCCATTATTTTCAATATATTCTCCTATAGGGCCGAAACAGTGAAAGATACGGCAAATCCGAGGGTTGATCCTGATTCAGAATGTGTTGTTTTGGGGGGGGTACCACCTCTGACATTTTACTATTGTACGTCTTTATGTGAATCGCGGCCATTTCCGCCGTATTTTCGTCGAAAAAAGCACTCTAGCGCCCAAACGGTGCAAGGTAGACTCAAACGGACAAAATTTTCGTCCCAAGGACTCTACTTTCACGAGTTACACCATTGAAGACCATAAAAAACAATATTTTTTTCAACTTTTTGGACCAACCTCTATTTCTTTGTTACCCCCTTTCACCCCCTTTGGGGTTGTTGACAGGATTTGCCGTGGGCGTTTCGTTTTCAGGGAGTGAACCTTAAGATACCCTGAAATTTTCAGATCTCTAGCTCATCTCCTTTCTCTTACACGCACGACGGACGGACGGACGGACACGAGAGCGGTTGCATAAGCCCGCATTAATGCTTTTTTAAAAGCAGAAGGGCGGGATAAAAACTGTGAATGTCTTAGAAACATGTTATGTCATGTTTGAAGTCCGTATGTACAATATTTCGAGAGTGACAAGTTTTTACGAAATGTGGTGTTTCCGGGCGGGTCGTGCATTGCAAATTGGATCCATCGAGATCTCAGCAATCCTTCAACGTTTCGCAAATGTGAAAACTTTTTTGGAAACTACAAGAACCAAAGCTTGGCATAGGCT